CCCGCCACCTTAGGTGTATGTGGCTGGTGCCTTAGCCACTTCAGCCACAGGCGCCAAGCCATGGCCATAAATTTTAATCAATGCATTCATCATATAAAATTATCCTATATATTAGTATATATTTCTGGATTCACTATGCTGTTTTATTGACCTATTATTAAATTGATATGTCAATGTCATATTGATTTGGTTACAATGAGCCTGTATCTTCTGGTGTCTAATAAGTAAAAGCAATCCTCTTTACTCTTTTGGTACCTTCCTTAGCTATTCTTAGGTATTTTATTATTCCGATTAAAAAGATCCAAGCCTTGTTCTGATTCTAATTGAAATTTCATTAAACATATATTAATTTTACAAATATAATAAATTTAAATTATTTTATTGTTATCTTTATCTCTGTACATTTCATAAAGGATGCTATGGTTAATGAAACAGTTTTCTCCTGTTTGTGTCTCTAAGTACTTATTACCAAATAGAGAAAATCTGTAGGTTTGCATATATTCCAGTAATTTTATCCTAGAGTCTTGATGGGTATTGTATCATCAGCCATATGAGACAGATTTTATCTCTTTTCCAACATTTATAGCCAGTTATTGCATTTTCTTATGTTACTAAATTTACCAGAAAACCTAAGACAATGAAAGTGAACATTCCTTCTACTCCATGATTTTATTTCAGATTGTTACTTCTGTTCCCATTTGCCATAACTTTTTTTCTTTAATATGTTGATGATCAAATAGATTATGTTAATAAAGTTCCTGACACTAATTGCACAAACCCATACATCCTTGGAGTAAATAAATTGATGAGTGTTTCATCTTTTTCTATTGCCTAGAATACAAATAATTTTCTTTATTTTTTCAAATTGTTGCCACTTAAAGCATTTTTTCATGATATTTTTCGTTATCTGTAATTACATGACCTCTAGCATTCGGAAATTCTTTTATTTTTGCTGTTTTTATCATTTTTCCTTAAACAAGCTGAGGACTTGTCTATTTTATCGGTGGTGTTTTCACAGAATGAGCTTTGAGTTTATTTGGTTTTCCTAGTTATTTTTGGATGGATGGATAATTATTTTTTAGATTTTATCTTTTTTTTTTTTTTTATTCGAGACAGAACCTCAAGCTGTCCCCCTGGGTAGAGTGCTGTGACATCACAGCCCACAGCAACCTCCAACTCCTGAGCTCAGGCGATTCTCCTGCCTCAGCCTCCCAAGTAGCTGGTACCACAGGAGCCAGTCACAACGCCTGGCTATTTTTTGGTTGCAGCCATCATTGTTGTTTGGCCGGCCCTGACTGGATTTGAACCCGCCAGTTCAGGTGTATGTGGCTGGCACCTTAGCTTCTTGAGCCACAGGCACCGAGCCAGATTTTATCTTTACCTATGATCTCTTCTTAGTTTCTTTTGGCTTATCTTGCTGACTTTTTTGCTAATACTTAGAAAAAGTAATATATTCTTTTCCTTTTCTTTTTTTTTTTTTTGAGACAGAGTCTCACTATGTCGCCCTGGGTAAAGTGGCATGATGTCACAGCTCACAGCAACCTCAAACTCTTGGGCTTAAGTGATTCTCTTGCCTGAGCCTCTCAAGTAACTGGGACTATAGGTGCCTACCACAATGCCTGGCTATTTTTGTTGTTGTTGTCATTGTTGTTTTACCAGGCCTGGGCTGGGTTTGAACCCACCAGCCCCCGTGTATGTGGCTGGTGCCCTAGCTGCTGAGCTATAAGCGCTGAGCCATTGTCCTTTGTTTTTAATAGGGAAGGCACTTAAAGCTCTACATCTTTCTCAGAGAACACCTTTTATATATCCCATAGGTTTTGGAATAAAGGATTTTCTTTTTATTTTCACCGAGCAGAAAATAAGGAATTGATTCATTAAATGTGCCATATAATTGGCATGTAGCAATGCACTGTTCACACATCAATATGTAAAACCTCAGTCTGTTTTACTTTCTCTAGTGGGAAAAGATGAACACTGAAATTTCTTATGCAAAAAGTGAAGAGTTGAACTATGCTATCTCCACATACCTTTATTAATATTCAAGAAACTTATCCTCTGAACTTGATTTGACTTCTGCAGGTAAACTTTTCAGGAAAAAACTTTTCTAATCTGTAGAGCTCAGAAAAATAAAGAAATAAGCAATATCTCATATTCATTAACCAGGCCCTAACTTTCTTTAAAAATCACC